CCTTGCAATTTACTTGTTTTCTCCTCACTTGCTTTTCACTGATTTGTAAGACAATAATATTATATTGTTCTGTCCCTTTTGAATAAAAATATGAATTTTCTTAATGATAATCTCATCTTTCAAAGGTAGAAAAATAATATGAACCTGCAATTCTGGACTGATCTTGACAAGCAAAGAGAAGTAGTTGTTGAAACAGAAATTACAGAAATTTTAAGGGACATTAAGGAACACAGATTTCAAGATAAAGGAGAAGAAATTCAGATATAGTTTGACACACACTTGGATTTTGGAAATAAGCATTGCAGAAGGTTTAGAAAAATGATAGGCTTTTATGGCGTAATATTTTACAGAGTAAGTCATTCTATAAGAAACAGGAACACAAGAATGAAACTCTAAAAATAAAGTCAGAAATTATTCCAATGAGGAAAATACCAGGAAACTGGCAAAATAGATGGATATGATGCAGTCACCAAGAATGGTAGAATTTTAAAAAAATGTTTTAGGCACAAGTTGATGATGAACAGGTAAAGGTTCACCACTTAAGTGTGTATGGGATAAAAATGACAAATATAGTTAAGAAGACTGAAATACTCAATCTTATTTTGATTCTTTTTTAGAAGGAGAATAATCTTTGGACTAGTAACAAAAAGAAGCAAAATAATTAGTGGAAAGTGAGAAGACAATCAGATAACATTGACTAGTTTTATTCAGCTGAAGTTTCTGTAAGAAATGATGACCAAATTAATGTCTTTGCTCTTTTGCATTTCTTATTTTTCAGTCTATAGCTTATTTTAATGGGTTGGGTTGGAGCTGCTGTAAAAATGTGTTGTTTTCATCTTATCTTCATTCTTTCTTCTGTTTGATATTGATTCTGACCTTTACTTTAAACAGTCAGTGATCTCAGTGCACATAGACAGCTGATTCTGAAATGACTCCCACATCGTTACTCTAATTTTTTATACTAGTGCATGAAGGATGACATTTGCTAAAGATTCTGCATGCTGTAAAAGACATCAAACACACTTATTTTATAAGAAATACTGAGAAGACAGAAGTTTGATAGAAATTTATGGCTGAGGAAATGAAAATCTGAACACAAAATAAAACACCAAGGGAAGAGAAATATTAATCTAAAAAATTAAATGCATATAGCTCCTTCCTTTGAAGATGCCCTGTGTTTTTTATTTGTCTTCATGATAAGAAGAAACAAAAATTTATATTTCCCACATATTTACAGGCGGAGAAAGGCAGACTATAAGAGACTTGCTTGTGTGTGGTTGTATACTATACAAAAAGTAAGACGCTTATAAAATATTTATAGCAACAAGTTTTATGGTAGCAAAATTCTAGGATCAAATGAGCTACTTATTTGTTGGAGGGGGATGGCTGGTTGAATTTTAGTATATAAATATAATTATTTATCATTGTACAGTAAGAAATTGCAAATACAAGGAATTCAGAGAAGCATGGGATGGTTTTTAACTGATGCAGTGAGATAAGCAGAACCATAAAAATTATATACACAATAACTACAAATGAAAGGTAAAAGAATTCTTAAAGAATGAAAAGTTCTGAGTAATTCCAGTATTTGTCACGAAGAAAGAATAAACATATTCTCCTCTTTGGGCCAAAAAGAGGTGGAATGCATGTAGTCAGTTACATTATAATGAAGCATTTATTATAAGGAAGAGTTCAATTTAACATACATTTATTAAGTACATACAGGGCATTGAGTCAGAGAGACTAAGTATGTAAGTATCTATCTATGTGTATATATATATATGTGTGTGTGTATGTATATATATGTACACATACATATATATATACATACGTACATACATATATATACATATATACCCGTGTGTGTGTGTGTGTGTGTGTGTGTGTGTGTGTGTGTGTGTGTAATATGTATGTATATGCCTTGCCTCAAGGAGAGACATAAATACACAGATAAATTAATACAAAATTTAAATGAAAGAACAGTTTTGGCCTAAGAGTTCTTTGATACGGAAGATAATCAAGGAAGACCACATGTGGAAGGAATCATTTAGATAACCATTACATTGTGACCTCCTTGAGGATAGGGACTATAATCTGCTTTTTTTTTTTGTATCACCAGTACTTAGCATAGTTCCTGGCACACAGAGGATGCTTAAAAATATTTATTGACCTACTATTTAAGCTTCAAAGGGAACTAGGGATCCTTAAGAGGCCAAAGTGAGAAGGGAAATTATTCCAGTCATGGTAGACAGCCTTTCCAAAGACATTGAGGTGGGAGATGGAATGTTATATATTTTAGGGAATACATTATAGGTCATAGTGACTGGAAATGTATGATATGTGACGTATAGTAAAATGATAACACTCAGTTCAAGCCATTCTACTTAAGCAGCATCAGGTCATACTTTTCATCCTATCCAGTCATTCACCAGAACATGGAGACCTTCTCACCATGAATATTTTGATTTCTGCTCTGCTGTCCTCTCTATTTTTATTACTATCACTTTCCAACTCTTTCTCAGGCAAGAATAATCAAATGAACATTACCTTTTCTACTAGAAAAGCCATGACAATCTATTGCCTATGGCTCCACTCACAAAACTTATGAATATCATGTCCCAAACTCTTCTCAGGCTACATGTTTTATATCCCTCTATTAGAACGGAAACTCCTTAAGGGCAGGACTGCCTTACTTTTGTATTCGTATTCCTAATGCCCAACAGAGAACAAAGCTAGGTGGTGAACTGGGCTTGGAAGCAGGAACACATCTTCATGAGTTCAAATCTGTCCTCAGATATTTACTAGCTATGTGACTCTGGGAAAGTCACTTAAACTATTTGCCTAAGTTTCCCTAACTGTAAGATGACCTGGAGAAGGAAATGGGAAATCACTCCAGTATCTTTGCCAAGATTAACCCAAATGGGGGTCACAATGAGTCAGACGTGACTGAAACTATTGAACAACAATAATAATATATACCCAATACATACATATGTGTTATGTTTCTGTATATACAGACTTTGTTAATTAAATTTATGATAAGATGTGAGAGGAAACATTTGTATTCAGTTTATTGGAACCTATTCCACTAATGGGCAAAATGATTTGTGATTGGAAGCTTGATTACCAGTAGTAGAGGTCTCCTGAAAGGGCAAAAATCTATAAATCATGAAAGAGTAGACTTGTCATGCTCACTGCTATAGGGGAAACAAATGCAGGAGACCATGTTGTTAAGGTTCCATATGGGCATTCTAGTTCACTGATGGCTCTCTAAAAGGGCCCTAAAATCTCCCTCCAGGAAAATACACTCCCCATTCTCACAGAGTGAGAGGCAAGGGTTGAGTTTAGCATATAAATCTGTATTCTGTCCAATTAAAGCTGGTCTGAGAGATGCAGCCTCCATGGCTTGACTAGTAGAGCAATACAAGAAGAGACTAAGGAAACCCAAAGGATATTAAGTCTGAATATTTCTTTTGCATAACAATGTGATTGGAATAAATTTCCTAAGCTATTGTCCCTGGAAAGATAGAGCTTAAGTGCTCCCTCCAATATAAGGCTCATCCTGACCTTTCTCCACAAGTTACTTAGATATGGGCATATTATTTCCAACTCTTCCCCCACCCATCACCAGGATACCAGCTTCTTGAGAACAGAATCTATTTCATTTTTGTCTTTATATCTTTAGAGCCTAGTGCAATGATTGACATATGCCTAATAAATGCTTGTTGAATGAGTGATTGATTGATGAACATCTTGATATATTTAGCCTTTTCTTCTAATTCTTTTTCTAAAGAAAATTTGTTTAAGCCTTTTTGCAGGCCAGACGAACAAAAGAAAGCATGCTCAAGAAGTTTATGATTCATTGAATTGAATACATATGCATATCTTTTCATGTTTTACTTAGACACATGGCTCCTGGGAAAGCTAATATTTTGAGATTAAATTCCCATTTGATAGTTTAGCCCCTAGGGCTGAATTTTACTTGAATGGATATTGTTTTGAAATATCCAGGATGGGCACATAATTCAGAAAACTCTAGAAAGTATTGTGGAATCATAGATTTAGAGATGGAAGGGAAGTTAGAGACCATCTAAGCTAATTCCTAAATTTTACAGAGCAGGAAACTGAGGACCAGAGAAGTTAAATAATATCTCCACCATCACAGGTGTTAAGTAGCGGAGAGGCAGGCCTCTCTTTCTAAATGTAGTTTCTAAATGGGTTTCTTTTTTTTCCCTATTGTATCATGATGCTTCTCACCTATAGTCATGGAAATTTGTTATTAAGTCTGATTAGTAGTCTATTGAGTAATAGAATGTTGATTTTAACTCAACCACTATCTATACATATTTTATGTATTGAATTGGGGGTGCGGTCAAAAGAGTCTCTGAAGAAATCCCAATGAAAGGAAGACAAGAGGGAATAGTAGGGTATGATATAAGTGCTTTTATGCCTTAAACTTTAATCAGAATGACTATTATTGATTTTTTTTTTCCAGACAGTAACTACTGAGCTGCAATGTGATAAGAGCAGATAGGGAACTAGGACAGAAAGCAAAGAACTTTGGACATTGAGCAAAGCTAACTAACTTCCTGGCTGTCTCTGGTTGTGTTTCAGTAATTTTGATCAGGATATAGATAATGGACATATCTATTCTTTTCTCATGTATTAAGGTTAAATTATGTGGGGTCGGGAGGCTCTTTTCAGCCTCACCAAAGCCTTTGAAGCAAAACAGTTACAGTCAGTTAGTGAACTAGCATTTATTAAATGACCACTATGCACAAGGCACTGTACTAAGTTTTGGGGATATAAAGCAAGCCAAAAAACTTGTACTCAAGGAATTCACAGTCTATTGAGAAGGAAAAAAGGAAGAACAGAAGAAATGAAGGAAAGATGGATAGAAGGAAGGAAGGAAGGAGGAAAGGAAGGAAGGAAAGAAGGAAACAAGGCAATATGCATTTATACAGCACCTACTATGTGCCAGGCACTGTGCTAACCACTTGACAAATACTATCTCATTTGATCCTTACAACAACTCTGGCAGGTACGTGCTATTTTTATCTTCATTTTATAGTTGAGGAAGACAACATGAAAATAGTTGTATAAGTAAGATGCATACAGGATAAATTTGAGTACTCTTAGAGAGAAGACACTAAGATTAAGGAGCACTGAGAAGGGCTTCTTGCAGAAGGTGAGACTTTAGCAAAGACTTGAAGGAAGCCAGGGAAGTCAGAGGCAGAGATGAGGATTCAGAAGAGTGCAGGCATGAGGGACAAAGTAAAAATGCTCAGAGTTGGGGGATAGAGTTTCTTTTACGTGAGGAATAGCGAGGAAACCAGTCACTGTATCAGAGAGTGTGTCATCATTACAGTTTCCCAGGTGTTTTTATGGAATCAGAAATTCGTGATACTTTTCATCTTACTTTGGAATCCCAGGTTGAAGGAAAGATATCTCAAATTACTACAAATAAGATGGTTTGGAGCTGATATAAATCCGAATCTAACACTTTCATTCCAACACATTCTCTTTAAGGCATTAAACCAAGCATTCCTCAAATTGAGTCCAATCATCCCCCTTTCCAAAAAAAAAGGGACACAAGTCCAGCACTCCCACTCTTTCCCTCTACTCAGCCTTACTTTCCTTTCCCTCATGTTACTTTTTACCTTGGGCAGTTATGTTTTTGATCATAAATTGCAAACTCCATACTTTGGGGTACCTGGCTCCATGCTTTCTTTGACTCAACTCAACTCCTCTTCCTTTCCTCAGGGCTATTTCAACCCCAATCTCACTTCCCATTCCCAGGGCCATCCAGCAGCTTCACCTGTAAAACCTCCCCCCACATCCAAAAATGTATCTTTCTTTTATAACAATGTTTTTAGGATACTTACTGCCCCTTGTAAGGTTGTTTTTTTTAAAACAACAACAACAACAACAAAAACAATTAGACTAGGTATACCTGCATGGTTTGTAATGATTCTAATTGCATTGAAGACAAAAAGTTTAGATAAAAATGAGTATATAGAAATTGCTATCCTGAATCATGGTCACTGCACTATCTACTATCAGAAAATGGTTCCAAGAGCTATTTTGTGTGATACCAACATTGAAAAAAATAAGGATATGACTCAATTAGCCACAGTTTTCCTTAATAACTCAGTTATTTCTTTAATAAGGCTCTGTCACCTCTGTTTTTTCCAAACTCTCATTTTTTCTAAATTCCTTCATTTTTGGTTTTCAGTGTCACAAACAAAAATTCAGCATAACTCTCAGCTCAGTGAGAGGCCTCCAGTTCTCGATCCATATTATTATCGTATATTTCCTCCAAACTTCATGCCCCAAGAGGTAAGCCTTATCTAGCTATAATTTATTTCCTTATCTATCTACAAATACATATATAAAGGCAACACATTGATTGCACAGGTTTTTACATAGTTTGTTTTGTTTTGTTTTTTACCATTTAGTACCACAAAGAAACCATGCTTCTTTACTATGTAATTTTTTTGGAGGGGGAGCAGAGATAGAGGGATTTTAGATATGACTTCATTGATATGGGGAACTCTTCATGTGTAAACACTAAATTAATTCCAATGCATTTATGCTTTCTGACATGGTAGTTGGTAATTATATTCCAAAGTTCACTCCAAACCTAAGATTTTTCCTGGAGTTGGAGTTGGGTAAGCACAGAATTGTGAAACAGTCAACATTTTCTGAATCTTCACAACATAAAGGCAATGAATATTCTCATGTTAGAGGATTTCTTGAGGTACTAAAAGTTTAAATGATTTACCCAGTACCAAGCTGGTATTTGTCAGACCTATGACTTGAACTTGTCTTTGCTACTCCAAGATCAGCCCTCTCTACATTATGTCAAGCTTCCATTTGAAAAATGGAAAGATCATTTCCAATTAGTGTTTTTGTTATGTTAATGTCTCCTTGTCCTAGGCAACTAACTAAACCTATGTTATAGATGGTTCAAGTGGAAGAAATTTCTATGCATAGGGTTCCCTTTCCTGATGAAACTGCCAGTCTAAATGATACATGCAGACGTATATACATATACAAACACACACATACACACACCCCACTATATATACAAATGTATGTATGTACATACATATATAGTGCATATAAATATATATATCATTCATGTATATGTTGGATTATGTTGAAATTCTTATATATATATATATAAATGTATATTTCAATGTTACATAGATATATGTACCTTTGTTTCATATATACATATATATTTGCATATAAATGTATAATTATATACTTATGCAATATGTATATGCCTATATATGAGTACCAATATGTACACACATACATACAAATATAGAGAGAAATATAGATATACATGTACAGAGGAATTGTATCTATCTAGCATACTTTCTATTATGCCAATAGTAGCAGTAAAGCTAAGTAATGCTTACACTGACGTTGGTGGCTGAACATTGATTTTATTTTTAACAGCATATTTTCATTGCTACTTCTATTAGGTTAATTGTACTCAATCCCTGAGTAGATTTTTACTAGAATGTGAGAGTAAGTATGATAGTTTTTCTTAAATGAACTTTTGACATGCACAGACCTAATCAAAATTAATAAACATAGTATTAATAGATGTGATAATCAAGACCCTAATCCATTAGAAATACCTGCTCTACAGATCTCCTGGATATTCTCCAAGAAAACATCACGAGAATACAAAAATGAGAAAAACAATGAATTAGGCAGAGACCCAACTACATGGTACACAAATGGAGAGCCAGTCTGGAATGTGTTTGCTAAGCTTTCATAGCCAAGGCAAAACAGTTTGATTTCTGGTCTTTGTTTTCAAAACATACATCCTATACTTACATGTTTAGAAATTAGTTACTTAGCAGTAACTGTTGATATACTAGGCTACAAGCTGAATCCAATTTAGGTAATAGAGAGTGTGGCAATGAGGGAAAAAAGTATCCTTAGATATAGTCCACTGGATGTTAAAACTGTCAATACTACTGATATAAAATGCTGAAGCTGGAAGGGAATTTAAAAGCCACTGAGCCCAAGACCCCAGTTTAATTCATGAAGCGGACAGCTACCTTCTTGGAACTTAATATAATGACTCAAGAAGACCTGAGTCCAAATCCAGCCTCAGAGACTTACTAGCTGCATGACCCTGGGCAAGACACTTGAATCTCTCTTTGCCTCAGTTCTCTCATATGTAAAATGGGGATAATAATAGCACATAACTCCAAAGGTTGCTGTAAGGATCAGATAAGTAATATTCATAAAACACTTAGGTTTTTGTGCCTGGCACATAGTAGGTACTATACAAATCTAGTTGTCATTGTCTTTTTCATTATTATTATTAAGAAACTGCCTAAAAATAATATACTAGACCTACAAAACCTCCTTAAACTAAAAACTTGTAAAATAGCCTGCCCTATGGATAATTTACTGAAGTTGGAGTGAGGAGGACCAGATTCAAATTTTACCTGTAATATTTATTAGCTATGGATCATAGGCAAGTTGCAATTTCTTTGAGCCTCAGTTCCCTCATCTGCAACATGGAAATAATGATATCTTGTAAAGTAGTATTTAAGTGATTTTTTAAACGTTCAGTTCAGGTCACTACCCTACTTTACAAAATTAAATGGCTCCCCATTGCCTCTAGGATCCAAACCAACTTGTGTGTTTTGCTTTTAATAGCAGCTTCACAATCTGGCCACATCCTTCCTTTTCTAATACTGTCATATACTACTTTCCCTTGCCCACTCTCTGGTCTAGCTGAACTGACCTTCTTACTATTCCTCACATGTGACATTGGCTCCTCTGTTTCTGACCTTTGCACTGGCTAACCCTACCTAGAATGTACTCTCCTCTCACTTCATCCTCTTAGAATCTATTGTTTCCTTCCAAACTCTTTTCAAATTTCCTTTCTGTTCAAACAGTATCTATATGAGGCCTTTCCTGCTTCCAGGTGTTAGTACCACCCTTCCCCCAAAATGATTATATATTTGTTTTGTCTTTACTTATTTATAAGCCTGTTATGTTACCTGATAGAAGCAGAATTTTTGAGGACAGGATCCACATCTCCTTTGCCTTTATATCCACAGTTAGCTTTTAAATGAGCATTGGATGTCCTGCCTTGTAAATGCCAACTAGAATATAATCAGAACTAGGCATTTTGACAAATGAGAGGAGCCAAATGACATTCAAAACCTCTTCTTCAGTTGGAAGTTCAGCTAGAGAGGGATTAACTTCAACCTGAAATATGTGGTCAATGGCTTTAGCATTGGTTGATGATGGTTTGTTGAGAACACTGTGGAAGTGTTCAGCCATCTCTCTAACAACATGTCCTTACTACTAATCAATGTGGCTCCATCAGTGCTGAGTAGTTGAGATGCATCATAGGTCCTTGGCCCATAAATAGCTTTCACAGTATCATAAAAACACTTTTGATTGTTACTATCAATGTAAAACTGAGTTTCATCTTCCTTCATACTGAGCACCTTCATCCCACACCTCTATATTTCCCTTGCACTTTACTTTTGATGGACTTGAACACTGACTTCTTAGAGATGGATGAACTATCCTGCTGGTAAACCCTATGGACTTCTAGTTTTTCATTTAGTAAATTATGAATTTCCCTATCTTTTTCATCAAACCAGTCCTGATGTTTGTAAATGTTCTTACACAAGTGAGTAACTGCAGTCCGATACACGAAATATCTAAAAGCTGCCCACTCCTTTTCAGCTTAATTTTTCCAGATGTTTGTTGGCTCATATTTCCCTCCAAGTTAGTAACAAACTGTTCTCTTATGAAGAAGTGTTCTAATCTGTTTACATTAAGTCTGGTAGTTGTCTTGTCTTGGGGCATGTCACTTTTGTTGATTACAACTATAACATATATCAAGGGGGTGCCACATCCCTAAGCCCCACAATGTGGAAAGGATAACTGTAGAATGTTTACCTTGGAAAGAATGTCTGTGATTGTTCTAGCATTCTGTGTCACACATAGCTTTCACATCCTATCTGTCTCTTCTTCTTACGATAACATAGTCTATTACATGCCAATGTTTTCTGTGAGGATGCATCCCCAAAGTTTTATTGCATTTAGATAAACGGAAGACAGTTTTGGTGATGAGGTCATGAGTTGCACAAAGTGTGGGAGAGAAGAGATTTTAGCCACCTACCAAACTGAAAGTCTACAAAGACATTGTACTGACCTCATTGTATATGCTGGTGAAACCTGGACAGTTTATCAGCACCATTTCAGGAAACTAAGTCACTTTCATTTGAATTGTCTTAGGACGATTCTGAAGATCACCTGGCAAGATAACCTGAGGTCCTTTTTGGAGCTGAACTGACAAGCATTCAAACTCTACTGCAGAGAGCACAACTCTGATGGGCTGGCCACATTGTTCAAATGCCAAATGTTCACTTGCCTAGAAGACTACTTTATGGACAACTCATACAAGGTGAGCACTCACACAATACTCAGAAGTAATACAATGATGCTCTCAAGTTCTCCCTGAAGAACTTTGGAATCAATTGTGAGAAATGGGAGACACTGGCACAGGAATGCTTAGCATGACATGCCATATCAAAGGCTCTTTTTTTCTCTGGGCAAAGCAGAAATGCAGTAGCTCTAAAGAAATATAAGATGTTCAAATTTAGAGACATCTTCACTCCAAATGTTCATGTGGACTATTTGTACCTGACCTGTGTTGAAAGGCTTCTGAGCTCGTATCAGTCTGATCAGTCACACTTGGACACACTGTACCTTGACCCTGACATAGTGTTATCATTTTGGTCCTCTTCAAGCACAAAGGACAACAATTACCTATATCACCAGTGCCTACCTCACTGCCTGGCACAGAGTAGACACTTAATGTTTATTGATTGATTGATTACTAATACCTACCTTGCAGGGCTGTTTTGAGGCTAACATGATACAGAGAATGTAAAAGTGCTTGGGAAACATTGATATTAGATAAATGTCCATTATTAAAAATATTAAGACTATGTTTCTAGAATCTTTCTATATCATAGAGATTGCTTTTACAGAAACAGTTTAGAAAAGTGGGAAATGCACTGATTCAATGTTTGCTTTGGATATTCACTATTTATATGACTGTTAACATCTCACTTGACCTCAGTTTCTTCAATCTACAAAATGGGTCCAGGAATACTTAACAGTAGCTACCATTCAGGGGGTGTATGAGGAAAGTACTTTGGGAATTTTGAAGAGCTGTATAAATGTAAGCTATTATTGTTCTGGCTTGGTGTCAGTTTCAGGATGTGTTAAAGGGAGAGGCATAGTGAGGACATTTAGGGAGTCAATACCTAGAGGAATGGGTGGAAGGAATCAACTAGAGAGAGAAACAGAGTCAGAGACAGTGAGAGAAATATTCCTTAGGCCATCAGGGTATACATTCATAAGTCAACAAAAAAAGTAGAGAAAGATCTTCTTAAACCGAAGTTAGTTTGAAGTATAAAGCTATGGGTTAGGATCAAAGGGTAGGCTCAGCTTCTCCCAGTTTTCCCAGCAGTTTTTGTCAAACAGTGAGTTCTTATCCCATAAGCTGGGGGCTTTGGGTTTATCAAATAATAGGTTATTATAGTCATTGACTACTGTGTCTTGCATACTTAACCTATTCCACTGATCCACCACTTTCTTTTTTTGTTTTGTTTTAAAAAGAAAAAAATTATTTAATGCATATTTAACTATCATCAACAGACATAAACATTTCAACTTACAAAAAAGAACAAGAGGCTTATACAAGAAACCATGAACTTGCTATGGACAGTTTTTTTTAAAAGATATATAGAAGTATGTATATTACAATAGTTGTCATTTATATAACATCTTAAGGTTTGCAAAACATTTTCATTCTCATGAAAACCTGGAGTGTGTGCACTATTATTACCCTCAATTTACAGATGAGAAAACTGGGGCAAAGACTGTGACTTGTCCAAGGTTACACAGCTAGTAAATGACTGCAGTTGGATTTGAATTCAGGCCCACCGTCTAGGCACTGTGCCATTAACAAGGTAGTAACAAAACTGCTCTGTTTGTTTTTGTTTCCATCTGCATTTTTCTGTGCATTTAAAAAATGCTTTATTGATATTCTTTTCCTCCTGTAATTATCAGTACTCACCTTCATACTAGCACTCATGTTAACCTAGGGAAATCAGGACTCAATATGATATAACCGAAATACATAAGGTTCTGGGCAAAACATATGAGAAGGGATAGACCACTCTATTTCTTAGCCAGTACCAAGCAGTTTTGATGATTGCTGCTTTATAAAACAATTTAAGATCTGGAATGGCTAGGCCATCTTCCCCTGCATTTCTTCTCATTAGTTCTCTTGATATTCTGAACCTTTTGTTATTCCAAATGAATCTTGTTTCTAACTCTATAAAATAATTTTTGGTACTTTGATTGGAATGGCACTGAATAAGTAAATTAGCTTAGGCAGAATTGTCATTTTTCTTATATTAGCATGGCCTACCCATGAGCAACTGATCTTTTTTCCAATTATTTAGATCTGACTTTATTTGTGTGAAAAGTATTTTGTAATTGTGTTCATATAGTTCCTGGGTTTGTTTCACTAGGTAGACTCCTAAATATTTTATAATTTCTACAGTAAGTTAAAATGGAATTTCTCTTTCTATCTCTTGCTGTTGGGCTTTGTTGGTAATATATAGAAATGGCGATGATTTATGTGTGTTTATTTTATAGCCTGCAACTTTGCTAAAGTTATTTATTATTTCAGGTAGTTTTTTACTTAATTCTCTAGGATTGTCTAAGTATATCATGATGTCATCTGCAAAGAGTGATAACTTTGTTTCTTCTTTGCCTATTCTAATACCTTCAATTTCTTTTTCTTCTCTTATTGCTAAAACTAACATTTCCAATATGATATTGAACAACAGTGGTGATAATGGACATCCTTGTTTCACCCCTGATCTTATTGGAAATGATTCTAGCTTGTCCCCATTACATATCATGATTGCTGAAGGTTTTAGGTAGATGCTACTTATCATTTTAAGGAAGTCTCCATTTATTCCTATGCTCTCTAGTGTTTTTAGTAGCAATGGGTGTTGTATTTTGGGCTGACTTTCTTTTTGCTTGTATCCTCAGCATTTATAGCAGTATATGGCAAATAGTAAACACTTAATGAATGCTTGCTTGTAGCCTTGCTTTGCCTCTGTCCTTCAACTTGACATCTCAATTTGATAGCTTCCTTTAAGTCCCAACTAAAAATCTGCCTTCTACAGGAAGCTCTTCCTAACCACTCCTAATTCCAGTGCCATCTCTCTATTAATAATTTCTTATTTATCTGATAGAGTACTTCGTACACGTGTGTGTATGTATGCGTGTGTATTTGTACACTAGCATATTGTCTCCTCCATTAGACTGTAAGCTCCTTGAGAACAGGTAAGTAAGTCTTCTGAGTCTTTTTATATCCTCAGCACTTAATACAGTGCCTGGAACACAGTAGGTACTTAATAAATGTTTATTGACTGATTGATTGATGAATTACAGCTGCTAAGGCACTTATCAAAGGCAATTTTGAAAAAAGAAAGATGTCCTGTTTGGTCACATTTGACCAGTTTTTACCAAAATTCATGTTCTTATTTAGTCTCTTTTACAAAAATGCTAATAAATTACTTCATTTGACTTCAATATTAATGTTGGAATATTGGACTGGGTACCAATAATTTAATTGACAATAAGACTTTTTATTATTTTGTTTTTTCCATTATTTTTCTTTTTTTCCCCTTTGCCTTTTATACTTTGCTATTAACTTAAACACCAATAAACATGAACATTTCAGTAAAGGAGAGGATACATAAGAGGATTTTGTATATGCTTGTGCACTTGTTTCCCTATTTTTAAAAATGTTACTTAAATTTAAGCCCGTAGCAACAAAGCTGCCCTATTCTGTGTTTCCATCTGAATTTCCTTCTGTTCTTGTCTGTGTATTTATTTTTAATAATAATAATTTTTTAACCTAAAAGGCATAGAGACACAGAGGCCAGAAAGAGAAAATAGAAAAAAAAAGATAGCCCAAGGCTTTTTTTTTTTAAAGCTCTAACTTATATTCTAGAAACTAATAGGAGGTATTTTTTGGCAAAGCATCACTTCAGTGCTGGAAACTTGATTGTTTTCAAGGCTTAAAGTTATGGTATCAGCTTTTTCATTAAGAAATAATTAGATTCATCATCATTAATTTATTCTTTACAGATTTTGCAATTGCAATACAAGTTTCTTTAGATTAATTAATCTGTTAAATTCTGTAGTGTTCCTAAAATTAAACACACCTTCTTGTTTACTTTTGGTTCAGGCTAAATTGTTCTTAGAAATGAGTGACTCAACCAATAGAACTGCTCCTAGAAATGTAGAACTTCAAAATGAGGCTGCAAAGGTAAAATTCTGGTGAAAGAAGATCTTAAGAATGTTCGATGGCTGTTCTAAAAACATTTATAGTGGCTTAAATGCTAGTAATTCTGCTCTTAGCTATTTTCCACTTGAATTACTCTAATACATTTTTAAAACCGCTACACTGAATGATATTAATGGTAAAACAAATTGACTCATCTTATGAGAATATATCTATTATTTTTATGACCATATTTAATTGCATGTGTTTCTTTAAATTTCTAATTAAAACCAGCACTAAAAATGAAGTCTTTTTGTTTAAGTGTGCATTTTTATACTTAAACATACCTCATAATTATTACTGATACACAGATAGTTCACTAAGATATGATGGTAGAACATTAAAAAAGTGAATTAGAAGTCCCATTATTAGTTCTATTATTAAAACGGCACTTGTCTCAGTGGAGGAAGAAATAAATAAAGAAAAGTCCCCTAACAAGTACCTCTTCCATACCTTTCACAAATCTCATGATATTGCAGGCTAAACGGCCTAGTGATAGAGCTGTAAACTTGTGGCCTGATCTCATTGAGAAAGTTCTTTCTGCTACATTGTATTTAATACGACATCAAACACTGCACATTTGAAATAAATTCTAATGATGAAAGTAAGTACATGAATTGCACTGGTTTAAAACATTGAAAAAAAAAATGCTCCCAGCCTGGTATGACAATTCACCAAATAATCATTTTTAACTGTTTTAACTCAGTACTTGGCAGCCACCAATTACAAAACTGGATTGTCAGAGTCTTGAAGGGCAGTTCCACATTTCAAGTTTTCACAGGCAAATTGTATTTGACATTTAATTTTGAGTCCAAGATACCATAATGTGAAATCTTCTAGGCCATTAATGATAACACATTAGAGATGCTCCCCACCTCCCTGTTCCTGAAGTTGATTTCAGTGTTTGCCAGAAGGCTGGACCACTAATGCAGAATCTGGCACATGTAAATGTCCACTTATAAAAGCAAATATCCAATTATAACAGGTAACAAATTTCTCATGGATAAGCTCTGTAATTCACTTTC